GTGGAGGGAGGAGGGTGGAGGGAGTGATAAAAGGAGGGAGGAGAGGAGAAAGGGAGGATGAAAGGAGGGAGGAGTTGAGGGAGGGAGGATGGAGAAAGGATGGAGGGAGGAGGGGGAGGAGGGTGAAGAGAGGAGGAGGGAGGATGAGGAAAACATGAAACGACAAGAAAAAAAGACAAATTAAGCATCAAGGTTTTAAAAGTCTCTGACCTCTTCATTTGCAGCGTAAAATAAAATGAAGCATTTTTTCATCTGTGACTTGATTCAGAAATGTTTTATAAACATTTGTTTTTGTTTAGAGGTGTAAAAAAACTAAAAATGTTTATTTTTCTAACTTCTTCAACAGATCATCAGATTTCAGTGATCTGTCGGTCGAACGTCTCAAATGATCAAAGACTCTGACGTTTGGTAAAAATCGTGTGGACTTCAGGGCCCGGCATTCCTTGAAGGATTTATTTGTAACCTTAAAATTAACGTTGACAACAACAATGTCTGATTATCTGATTAACTGTGGCGGCCATCTTGAATTGGAGTGGTACCAAACAATATTTGTAGATGAACATCCAGGGAGAACTTCCTGAGAGTTTCGTTAAGTTCCATCCAGTGTTTAGTGATTTATTTTGTGTGACCACGTGCAGTTTGTTTGAGCTCTGAATATGCATCAGGGATCAGTCTCAGCTACTACCATGCTAAAATTTTACCCAGTGTCTTGGAAAATGACTGAGCTAGTGTATGATGTCATTCAGATCAATATGAAACAAAAGGAACTCAAAATAAATTTAAATCAACAGAAACCGATTCATTCAGTCAATATTTTGCTGACATTCCAGCAGTCAGAGCACATTCTTTTTTTTCTATAAGTTTCATAAACGAGAACCTTCCCGATTTAATTTTCACACAGATTAAGAAATGTTTGAATTTGAAACATGAATTTATTAAACTTGTTGTTTAATTCTGGTTCTGTTTATACTCAATTTGTGCCACAAACATAGTAAGGATCTGATTAAAAATGGTTTTATACATAGACATAGATGAAGTTGAAGCCTTGATGTCTGTGCTGAAAATAATTATATATATATTTTTTTTTCCAGTTTATATTAACCTAAAATATAAACACAATAATTAAAGTATTAAGTTTGCTCCTTAGGGAAAACAACACGTTTAAAAAATGCTAACTAAAAACAATAATAATGATATCCTGATGCATGCTCAATAATAATGATAATTTGCGGAAACTTCCACTAGAGGGAGCCAGAGAGCCTCACAGGATGTTTGTAGACTGAGCCACAAGGACTCGTTTACAAGAGACCTGTTTTAAACTAAGAACACAGAAGAGGTACAAATAAAAGAGACATTTAAAAAAGTGTATAAAATGAAAAGTAAATAGAAGAAATGAAACAAAAAATGAAACAAAAGCAGCTACATTATAAAGCGATGTAAAATACTAAAAACAGGAACATGTCCGCGTTGGTTTTTGTCCTGAACTTAGCAGATGTTTAAAATCCCTTAAAGAAGTCAAGGTCGAGAGCTTCAGGTCTTTTTGTAAGATATTCCAGGAAACAGGAGCGGAGCAGGAGCAGGCTCTTTTGCCTAGTTCAGTCCTCACTGAGGGAACACTGCAGGTAATAATGTCCTGAGAGCGCACGCTGTAGCTGCACCGACAAAGTGACATGTAGGAGGAGATGTATGAAGGCAACAGACCAAGAAGTGATTTAAAGATGAAAATGTCCCAGTGAGAGAGTCTTGAAGTTAATAATGTCCAGTTAACCAGTGAATACAGGGTGCAGTGGTGGGTACGATAGTTACAGCCAGTTAAGAATCTTAATGCACCATGATTGACAGCATCCAACATCTGCAGAGTGCTTGTAGGAGCGTTCATGTAAATAATGTCACTGTAGTCAATGCTGGGAAGGAAAGTCGTGTAACAGCCTGAAAGAGGAGAATAAGAGTGAAAGATACTCTTGACATGTTGGTTTCCTACATTGTTTTTCAAAGTGCGGGCCGCAGTCCCCTGAGAGGCCACAAGGGGGCCCTAAGTAAGCTGGATAGAAGATTTTAAAAAAAGGGCAAAAATAAAAAATAGTAATAATAATAATAATTTCCCACTAGGGGAATCTGTATCTGTTATTTCCAAATAAACAAGCTTGAGAGAGAGGTTAGATGTCTTTTGTTTTGTTCTTCTGTTTCAACAGTTTGTTGAAAAGTTGTTTTTATCAATGGGAATATAATACAGTGTTTAAAACATGTTCGTTAACATATTAGTGCTCAGCAGCTGTAATAATTAATAGAATATTGTGAAAAAAGTTCAAACATTCTAAAAGTTTATGTTTCTTTACATGTAGCATTTTTTGTGGGTTTGCGAGGGGGGCATCGGACAGAAGCTAATGCTGTTTGGGGGGGCCATGGCATGGAAAAGTTTGGGAACCCCTGTCCTAGCATTCAGTTTGACAGGATCTGTATTTAGCCAAAGTATTATATTATAGTAATATACTATACTATATTATATTATATTGTATTATAGTGCCGGTATATACAGTATATTTTAGCCAAAGTATCTGTGAGACAGACAGAAACAGTGAGACACATGCAGGGTCCGACCTGCTGACTGTGGCAGCAGTAAATTAACACAGAAAGCGGATCATTAGGTCACAGACAGAAGCGGACTCCTTAAAATAACCTCCTGACCGAGAGAGTTTGTGAAGTCCAGGAATGAACCTCGGCTGCTGCGAAAAATACTTGTGGTTACGTGTTTACACTGAGGTGATAGCTGAGGGGGTTCTGGCCCGGCTCGGGTGGAGAGGTGAGAAGGTGCAGGCGAAGGTGAAGCTGAGCGCAGACAGGAATGTAGACAGACAGGCAGACAGACAGAAGGGCTGCCTCATATTGAGGGGAATGCAGCTCGTGTCATCTCAGTGACACACACACACACACACACACACACATGGTTTGCCTCCTGCGTTTATTAAATTTAAAACTGCAGGTTCTCAACATTCACACATGCTTTGGTTACAGTCACATGATCAACGGTATCAACTGTTTAAATTAAACAATTTTAACTTTTAACAGATTTCTGATTTATATTATTTTCTCAAAAAGTCTTTATTACATCAAAAACAAGATGCAGGCAGAGAGCCACCTGCACCACGAAGGACCCCACTCACCCAGCACACACACTTTTTGACCCGCTCCCCTCAGGAAGGAGGTTGAGGAGCATTAAGTGTAGAACCACTAGACTGAGGAACAGCTTCTACCCTGAAGCTGTTAGACTCATGAATCTCTAACCAGAATAATCACTGTGAAAAAATCACATCATGTTGCTGCTGATGTGTTTCATGTTGCTGCTGATGTGTTTCATG